GGAGAAGAGAGGGGGTGGAGGATGGGGGGGGGGGTCAGGGGGAGGGAAGGGGGCAGGAAAGCAAAGACCTTGGCAGCGGGACTGTGCCAGTCAGTGCAGGGGAGTGAGGTCAGAGTCCAGGGGGGTGAGGGAGCACCGCCCAAGCAAGGGGTCAGACCCAGACCCTGGTCGGCGGCTGCCCCTGAGCTCCCTTAGGCAGATGGACCAGGGCTGGGTCTTGAAGCTCGGGCTCCTGCTGGGCGGGTGGCAAGCTCTGTGCCCGCTTAAGTGTCTTCTGCCGCCAGGCAAGGTGGGGTTTGGATCAGGACAGGTGAGCAGGGTCCAGAGGCCAGTGTCACAGTGGGGAGGGCGGGGCCCTGGCATCCGAGCTTGAGCCACCGCTTCCTGGCGTGTGACGGGGGCACATGACTTGTCCTCTTCCCGCCTCACTTGCAGCTGCCGTGGCCTCACCTGTACAGTGGGGATAACTGGGCAGATGCTCCCCGGGGGGGTGCAGATTAGATGCACTGATACTTCAGCACACAGTGCCGGGCACCACATTGCAAGCACTTACTGCCAAAAATGCCCGTTGTCACCATTATGATTTGCACCTGGAATGTGCCAGGCAGCACCTAATAAAAGAAGGGAAGGAGCCCTCCGGACAGGGACTCTTACAACAGGAAGGACGTAGACTGGCAGGGTGGGGGCTGGACCTTCGGAGGCAGACCTGACAGTAGGGAAATGCCAAGCCTGGCAGGGAGGTGTGTCAGGCCCTGTTGGCCCCGGGAGGCCCGAGCGTGGAGCAGGGTTGTTGGACGGGGGGCCACTGAGGCTGCTGGCACAGCGGGGAAGCTGGTCTTTTCTCCAGGGCCATGCATCCCAAAGTCTCACCCACCCCCACCCCGGCATAGCATCCCCTATAACAGTGATGGCGAACCTTTTGAGCTCGGCGTGCCAGCATTTTGAAAAACCCTAACTTAACTCTGGTGCTGTGTCACATACAGAAATTTTTTGATCTTTGCAACCACAGTAAAACAAAGACTTATATTTTTTATATTTATTTTATATATTTAAATGCCATTTAACAAAGAAAAACCAACCAAAAAAATAGTTCGTGTGTCACCTCTGACACGCGTGTCATAGGTTCGCCATCACTGCCCTATAACAACTTCCAGTAGCTTTTTTTTCTTTTTGCTGAATAATGCATGTTCACTAAAGAAAATTTAGAAGATATAGACTCGTGAAAAGAAGAATATGTAAATTGCCATAATCCCAACTCCCCCCAAATTACCATCTTTACATCTTGGCACATACCTCTCCAGTCTTTTGTCTGTGTTATATGTATATATTTTACATATTTTTCTTGTGAACTTTACATGTTTATGGGGGCATAACTGTAAGAGTTCCAGCAGCCAGAACTGGAGTTCTCCAGCCTTGCTCTGCCCGTGTACCTCCCTGTGGGGCTCGTGGGGCTGAGGCTGGGCTCCGACCTCCTCCCCATCACCAGACCTTGCCGGGCACGTTTTCCCAGTGCCAGACTGTCCTGGACATCCGTTTTCGGACCCAAGCCTTTGTAGGCTGCGTAGAGACCACCAGGCTCCAGGCCTGCGGTGAGAGGGTATCTGCCCGGCTCTGTCTCTCGTGCCCCACCTCCCAGAGGCCGTGTGCTTCCAAAGAAGGCCGCCTTGGGGCCAACACATGTCACTTTACTCGGTGGCTCAGTGCCAGACGCCTTGAGCTGAACACTCACCAGCATGTCACTTCCCGAACGCCAGCCCCAGGTTCCTGAGTGACGGAGAGCTCTCCCTGTGATGCACATGACTAACCAGCACGTGACTTCCAGGTTCTCATATCTCCCCGATGGGCCTCCTGATCCTGGAGCTCTTGCTCCCAAAGCCTGACTCACTGGTTTCAACAATTACGCATCCACTTCCCTTTCTTCCTGGTGCGCACGCCCTCAGACCACCTGTCCTTGCCTTGCAGGTATCAGAGAGCAGCATCGCCCACGAGAAACAAAAAGCGAGGGAGGCCATCGAGAGGGAAAAGAGAAGGGTGCAAGACCTGGAGAACTGCCTGACCAAGCAGAAAGAGGTACGAGCCCCAGCGGGGAGAGACGCGGATGAGCAGGCATGGTTAAGAGCAGGCTCGGGAGGCAGGCGGGGGGACCCACCTCGGCCGCTCTCTGGCTGTGGGACATTAGGCAAGTCTCTCAGCATCTCTGTGCGTTGGTTTCCGCACTCGTGAAACACAGATGATACCCAAAGGTCAGCCTCATTGAGCTGTGAGGCTCCATTGTTCACATACACACAGAACACACAGAATGGTCCCTGGCACTCCCCGAATGCTGGCTGGCTGTGTTGCCCGCTTTTATTATTATTACTCTGAGCTCACAGCTGGGAAGCAGAGGGGCAGGATCCAAACCCAGGACCATCTGATGCCAGACTCCTTCATCGTCACTCCGCCTCTCCCTGCTGGCCGTGAGCTCTGCGTGGCTCGGCCACCTGGGGTCAGAGAGGGGGTCAGGATATGGACGCCTGAACTTTTCATCACCTGGATGTCATTTCTCCACCGGAACTTCTCATGATTGTCATCATCGCCTTCATGCCAAACCCCACTTATGAGCGTCACTGGGAGCGGCCGGTGCAGTAGAGGTAGAAGTTGGCACATGGCCCTGCCCAGGACACCTCCACGCTGTGGGATGTAGTTCACTCTGCCTGGGCCCCAGCAGTACCGGGGACACCACACACACACACACACACACACACACACACACACTCACACACACACACAATGGCCAACGTCTCAGCTGTCAGGGCAAGCAATAAACCCACAGCCCAACAATAGAGGTTTGATTTAAATAACACTTAAATTATTTAAAAACAGGTAAATACAAATTCAAAAGGTGTTCAAGGCCAGATGGAACTAAAAGCCTCTTCACATCAGTCCTGGGTCATTTTCTCTCAAGTAAGGTTCCCACCGTCAGCCCGCGTAGAGTCACTGGGTAGTTTATCCCAGGTGCCCCCGGAGGGCGGCCCCGGGAACCTGTGTGTTTAGCAGGCAGTCCAGGGGGCGCTGGCGCAGCTGGAACGCCACCGCTCCAGGGGGACGAGAGTCAGGAACCGCATCTGGATTGCATGGCGGTCCTGGGCACTTCCAAGAGTGTGTCCAGAGGAGGCCGACCAGAGCTGGGGAGTGATGCAGGACTTGCCCGCTTCCCTCCAGAGGGCTCCTGTGAGCAGGCGCGATGCTGCGGGCTCGGGAAGAGCCCAGGAAAGCAGCCTGGATTCCCCAAATGACTTAACGGGATCTTCCATAAAATGCTTTAGTTTGGGGTAGGAGAAAGGAGAAATTAACAATTTTAAGTAGATTACTCGGGGCATAACATGGATCGGGAATGAGACTAGTGCAAAAAAATATATGTATCATGAAATCAATATGGGCCACAATTTTTATTCTGACAGTTACAGTGAAAAGGGAAGTCCAGTTGTGCAATTTATAGATGAAAATGGAGCCATTGCTCATGAAACTGGGACCATTCTTGGTACTCGGCCCAGAGAGAACGTCTCCTGGGGCTCATCCCACAGAGAACTCTGTAATGCGACCAACAGTGTCCTCAACACCTTAGAACATTGATGACATCAGAGGGCGGGGCCTTGTGACAACCCTCAGGCAGGCCCCCACTTACCAGCAAAGGTCAAGGAATGACAAGGTCAGAGACACACTCTGAATTGCTTACTCACATGCTGCTCGACCTGTATATGCGGAGAGCAATGCGGAGATTGATTTTATCTGCATGGGCAAAAATAAGATTTCTGTAGAAGGAAGAGGAGAAAGTGGAGAAGGAAAATAAATTGGGACCCGTGGGAACAGTGAGCGCTGTGCTCCTGTCCTGCGTGGCTGCTGAATAGTCGGCAAGGAGCAAAGATGCCGGCCAGCGTGTTCGGCCGCTTCCTGGCCCATCAGAGACACCCTCTCAGTGTGTGGGGGTGACAGGCTGCTCCGGGGGATGCCTGCCAGGGTCCCCAGGAAGCATCTCCTCGGGCCAGATCCACCCATTGTCCAAACCGGGATTCCTCTCCGTACCTTCCCCTCAATGTTGTTATAAACCTAAAACTGTTCTAACGAAAAAAGTCAAATAAGGAAATGAAGTTTGCAAGCCCCTAGCACAGTGCCTGCCACACAGCCCGCAGGGCACACTGTGAGCCGGGACTGGGAGTTGGCAGAACTTTCACAGTCAACGGCAGGACGGGCGGGCTCTGGGCAGAAGAACAGGACCAAGGCCCTGGCAAGACTGGGCTCCAAGGGGGAGGGGAGGCCATCACGCGCCAAAGCCTCTGGGAACGTGGAGCGTCCTGAAGGCAGGTCCTGTAACGAGGGGCGAAGGAACTCGGCACATTTATCCTGGAAAAGAGCGTTAGAGCGAGACATGACAGTCCTCAAGTATAGAAAGGGAAAGAAAACGCACTCATAAAAGAGAAATAAAATGTACTCAGTGAGCTCCAGGTGACAGGCCTGGGCTCAGAGGCCGGAAATCGCAAGGAGACAACTGCCAGCCGACTATAAGAGGGAGTTCTCTGCTACCTGGAACCTTCCAGAGAAAGCATGGACTTTGGACTTAAAAAGAACCGAGGGAACAGTAACAGGATAGAGTACACCTCCCTCTGAACACCAGGGGGCGGTTAGGGGGGGCAGCGGCGGGGTGAAAACTCATTCCTGAATGTCTGTTGATTTGGTGTTTGTTGCTTGTCTAGGAAATGGATATTAAAGTGCAAAAGGAAGATATTTTAAATGATAAATTAAAGGACGCACTGGCCATGGTAGAAGAGAGCCAAAGAACAAAAGTGTCCGAGAGTCTGAAAGCAGAGAGCCTGGCCGTGAAATTAAATGAGGCGTTAGCGGAACTGGAAACTGCCAAGACAAAGATGGTAAGAGACAGACTTCTCCTCTCGATGCAAGATCACAGCGCCGTGAGAACAAGGGGTTCAGAAATGGGGGAGGGCAGGGGCTGCAGGGGTCGGGGTGGGGACGGATGGTGCCCGGCCTCCACGCTGCTGCCGAGGCTCTTGGTCAGAGAGGCCTTCCCCGGGGACCCTCCTGTGACAGCAGGATGCTCAGCAGCCTGGTCTCTGCCCACCAGACGCCAGCAGCGCCCTCCCCACAGCTGGGACAATCAAAACTGTCCTCAGACTTTGCCAAACGAATGTGGGTTTCTCAGGCGAAGCATTGACACGTGGGGAGGAGGTTGAGCCCGGGGGCCCAACATATAGCGGGGTGTGGGAGCAGGAGAACGAGGTCATTAGAGAGAAGACAGGCTCATCCGAGAGGCAGGATGGGGGTGCGGACGAGGCCCTGGGATAGAAGCGCCTAGAAGAGCCCTGGGAAGGAGAAGGTGGTTACGGCAAAGGGTCTGACTCACCGTTTGGGGACCATGGGTAATTTTTGGTTTTTAGGAGATAAAAAGTCATCCACTTTTTCTTTTCTTTTTTTTTTTACGTGTTTTTATTGATTTCAAAGAGAGAGATAGAAACATCAATGATGAGAGAGACTCATTGATTGGCTGCCTCCTACACTTCCCCTATGAGGGGTTGAGCCTACAATCAGGGTATGCACCCTGACCAGGAATCGAACCATGACCTCCTGGTTCAGAGGTCGACACTCAACCATTGAGCCACATCGGCCGGGCCATCCCCTTTTTTCTTATGAAATCGTTCATTCATTAATTCAATGAGTATTTACTGAGCATGTGGGTCCCATGCCGTGGCAGGGATCTAGGCACCGATGATGCTGGGTGTGTTGGTAAATTTAAAAAGATCAGTACCTGCTGTCATGGATGGAGCTTACATGCTGGTGGGAGTGAGAAACAAAGACACGGGATAATTCGGATGGTGCTAAGTGCCTCAGAGGAAACAAAACAGGATGACGGAATGGAAAGTGCCTCAGGTTGTTCCTCTAGTTAGGCAATCAGGGAGGGCCTCCCCGAGGAGGTGGCACAGGAGACCTGAAACTCGGGAAGGAATCAGCCATGCAAGGAGCCAGGGAAGCAGTGTATCACGCAGAGGGAACAACACACATGCAGGGACCCTGAGGTGGGACCAAGCTCAGTGGCTGTGGGCGCAAAGGGGACGTGTTACTGTTGTTATTGTCAGAGCAGCCGCCCAGAGTCGCATTGACCATTTCTGTTTCCCCAGATCATGATGGAGGGGCGGATACAGCTGCAACAGCAGACCATCAAGGCCCTCCACGAAGAACGAGAATCACAGAAACCGGCGTTTGAAGAAGAAGTCATGGGGTACAAGGAGCAGATCAAACAGCACTCCCTGACGATCGTGAGTCTAGAAAAAAGACTCAGAAAAGTGACCGAACATCACCAGAAAATAGAAGGAGAGCTCGCAGCTTTGAAGGACAATGAGCTGGGTAGGTCCAAAGAGACCCTGAGGAACCTGAGTGTCGGGGCAGGTTCTGGTTGTCCTGTGGGCCCTAAGCGGCTGCTGGGTAAGAAACGGCTTCTGCTCATTGCGAAGCTCCCTGATCCCCTGGCGCCCCTTTCGTTCTTGTTACACAACACGGGTAGGGGCCCTCGAGGCCAGGAGCGACAGAAGTGACCGTGAGGAGTCGGAAGCCTCTGTGCCCAACCCATCAGCCAGGGAGGCACAGGCCCAGGGCTG